AAATAAATAAATAAATAAATAAAATAAAATAAAATAAAAAAGAACAGCTACAGCTGGTTTGGAAAGGAGAAAGCCTCTTCACTCCATAAAGAACATGGCAGCACAGCTTAGGTTTGCAAACTCCAAACTTTAAGAACAGTATCCTTTAAAATTGCCGTATTTGGTGCTTCCAAAACTCGTCAACTCACAGATGAGGTGGCTGTAGAGCCGGGTGTCTGCTGATCATAGGTGGTTCAATCACTGGCCGCTCCACTCTGCATGCCAAATATCACTGGGCAAGATGCTAAACCAAAAGTGCTCTCCAATGAATCCAAATAAATGTTTGATAGAAAGCACTTTGGTAGCAAAAGCATAGAAAAGTGCACATATACATGGGTTAATGAGGCATGTTCTATGAGCTTTATTTAATGTGTAAAACACTAATCCATCAGCTTTCTGTTCTTCTCGGTTCAGGTAATGATTCATTTAATTTGATTCCTACAATATATTACACCTATTAACGCAAATCAGTGGTACAGACAGCTGTCAAGTACACAAAAATGCAATCTGTTAGTAAAGTTTCCTTTGTAGTCTTATATTTGCACTTGTATGTGTATAAAAATTACCATTAGTTGCCATGTAATCTGTATAAAACCGATCCTGTAAGGTTGTCAGTTTTACCTTTTAAACCTTCCAGTAACCGTGTAACACTGTTCTGTTTGGGCTTAACTGTGTTATCCAAAGAACTGACATTTGCAAAGTTTAAACTCTGGAGTCACTACACAGCAAGTCAACGCTTCATTTTCTGCATAAAATAATTGAAAAATGTAGGCACTGGTAGCATTCTAGGCCAAAGAAAACACAAGGTGCCAGTTTGAACCTTCATCTGTTTGAAACACTCAAGCTTTTAACAGAATAACTGTAATTCCAATGTGTGTGATACTTCATTTGAAAATGTACCAATTTAGCATGCAGCAAAAAGAAAAACCTAACCTGGTCACTGACAACCCCACAGGTGTTATGGAGGCTAATAAAGCATAAATAATAAATACAAGCCTAGTTGGATGTGGCCTTTTACCCACGTGCACACATTATAATACTTTAAGCTATTTGCCATATTAGCCATTAGTCTGTGGGCAAATTTGGGTTGTTAAAGAGTAGAAGAACCATAAATTTATTTTTAGGGATTTTGAGCAATTGGGAAGCTTTTAGCACAAGCAACCTCAAAATGTAAGCATGCAGTGAGGAGAACGGCCACAAGTGTTCTTGTTCTTAGTTCAGTGGGTGTCAGAAACAAATGGGGCCACTTCAAATGAAAAGTGGATGATTACCTGAGGCACAAAGATTGGAGTCCTGCATGGAGCCCCTGTTGGTTTTCAGTGAGAAGCCCACTTTTACACTTACAGCTGCTGACACTTTCAGCCCAAGGGGCACATGTTTTTTTTTTATTTGTTTTATTTTAATGCTGACATCATAACAGAACCATATTTGATGGCTTTAATAAATATTTTGTTTAATAAAACATAAATACTTAATTTATCAAAAAGGAAAAGAAAATGGGGACGGGTTTTTGAGGCAACTGAATCACAATACACTCTAGCTGAAACTTGGAAAGTGGCTTAAAAAATATTATTTACAGTTTACTTCTTAGAGAATAGCCACTTACCTCAGTTACGTGAATATTAGTTTCCAAGAGAAACACAAGAGACGGAGAGCTTACAAAACAACAATTCTTTATTGTTATACAGTATGTAATCCTTGTTAATGTTTTTTTTTCAATGTAACAGCAGTCTTTAATAAAATACATTTGTAAGCAAACAGCCTTCAATTGGGCAGGCTGGTTTCTACTCCCATGAGCCCTCTGCTCTGGATAGTTCAAAGCAGGCACATTTCTCATGCAAAAAAGAAAATAAAAAGAAGTTTTGACATGCATTGAATTAAAACATTTTAGGTACCCTCCCCAGCCACCAGTTCTTGCTTAGTCAATCTTTGTGAAAGTGTAAAGAGTCCAGTTAGTCACCACCTCCCTTGCTCCCATTAAAGAAAATAAAAGCCAGAAATCTGACTGTTCATATATATACAAGTAACATGGTCCTAAAGCACCTCACAAAGCCAAAAAAAAAAAAAAAAGTCCTGAGACCTCCAACTTGATGCAGCCTGGATGTTGCAGTTTTAGGGTTTGGCTGCTTTCACGTACCAACATGAAGTCATTGGAGGAATAAGAGATGAACAATGTGTGTGCTACATATGAACTCGGGGAAGGTTTCGCTCACTCACTCTGGAAAGGATCCAGTTAGACGTTTAGAAAGCAAACCTTCCTCCACAGTCTGTTTTTGTTACATCGTCGAGACATGCAGAATATTTCCTCGCCGCTTTTTCAGCAAAAATAAATACATACACAGCTGTATTAAATAAATAAATACAATACGTTTTAGATAAAGGTGCAAGTGTTCCCCATAAATGATGGCTTTCTGTGTAAATTTCGATCAGATGTTTGCCTGTAATCGACAGGTGAAGAACTTTAGGGAAATCAATGTCTGTATGGAGAAGGCACGAATGGCTAATGGCTAAAGCTCAGGGGTGATGTGGGAGTTCGATATACAATCTGATAGGCTGGTTGTCAACAGTCATCATAATGATGAACAGTGATACAGGGGTAGTGTTTGATATTAGCTTTTCCCTACACTTTGTCCACAAATCTGTCTTCTCTCTTTGGCATACAATCCAAACACTTTTCTAGCCTACACTTTTCCAAAGTGACCGATCATAACTGTGCTCAAATTCTTTTGATCTGGAAAGAAAATGTGGATGCAAACTCATCGAGAGTGAAACAATGTGACAAGAATTCCCCAGAAAGACAGCCCCTTCCCCAAAAGACGAACATTATAACTGCTAACTTTAAGATTAGGTTGATTATAGTTGATGTAAGGATGTCCACACCCTATGAAAGTAGCGTGCTTGAGATATGAGCTGATAGGCTGCTTGTCAACAGCATCATGATGCTGATGAGCAGTGACACAGGGAATTTTTGATGTTAGCTTTTCCCTACACCTTTGTCCATGAATCTGTCTTTTCAAAGTTCTCAGATTTCCTACACCGGCCTCAATCTGCTTAACCAGCAGTGCAAAGCTCTCCGCTTATTTTATTCTGAAATGCAACCAGATAGTATCTGTAATAAAGTTCTTGGATTCTATTAGAGTAGCACAGGATGATTTATAATGTAGAATGAGTCTGGTTTATCTTATACTGGTGGAGTTCAGTTGATAATTGTCTGACACAATCTGCTTTAGACCCCCTCCCTCCCTTAAACTAGCTATCTTTTGAATGGTTACCCCTCCTAAACCACATTATGTTTATCCAAACTAGTAGTCTATTTTTCCAGTGCATGCATTCCTCGTGTTGTGGGCGAATTTAATAGAACTGATTTTCATTTTGTCCATATAGAGGCAACTGTAAATGTTGCATTTAGCTACATCAGCAATATTGGTCCATTTCAGCTAAATAACTATACTTAAAGTGTTCTGGAAGACCTCTTCTCTCCAGCAGTATTCAGCCATTGTCAAGTTTTACTGTTAGACCAGAGACCAGGCAACTTTTTTTTAATCTTCTGCTATCCAATTTTGGTGAGCTTTTGGGAATTATAGAATCAGTTTCCTGTTCTTGGCTGACAGGAGTAATCTTCTGCACCTGTTTCACGGTTTCATGTATTGTGCAGATTGATTCTATCAGATTGAAGCAGTCTGGCCATTCTTCTGTGAACTCAGCCGTATTAAATAAATGCATCGAGAACAGTTTTTCACACAGTCGTCTCCTTCTTGCCATTCTCTGTAAACGTGGGGAAGTCCCAGTGGATCAACAGTTTCTGAAATAGTCTGAAATTCAGCAGGTTTACATGTCTAAATGCATCGAGTTGCTGCCATGGGATTGGTTGACTAGATATTTGCGTTAACAAGCAGTGGTTAGGTTGTTAATTTTAACACTTACATTCTGGTTTGTATTTAGTCTTTATGGACACAGTATACAGTAGTACTTTGACTACATAGTAATCTATTATTATTATATGAAAAAAAAAGGATCCTCTGGATCTTTCTATGAACAAAAAAAGGATGTGAGTTGTAGAATCCTTCTTTGATTCAGTTAGTTTCTGATCGAAGGGTTTAGAGTAAGGTTCAATGTTTCTGGCAGAAAAACTTGAAGGCAAACACCTTCTTTGGATCTACACGAATCACGCAATAGATCTATTCTGAATTCAGACGTGGACGGTATGAGAAATGACGCTAACGCACAAGAAAAGCTAAACCTGCATGTGGCCACCATGGGGCGATAGCTGTGGTTGCGCAGACTTTTGGTGCTAGTGTCAGAAAATGATAATCATGCTTGAACTCTGTGAACCTCAAGGCCCTCTGTATTGTAAGGTAAAGACTCTACATTAATACTTTTATATAAATTGTATAAAAGTAATAATTCTATAAAGAACTTTTTAGAAATTGTGGTCATTCTAAGAGTCAATAGGATTCCCTGGGGTAGCTTGACAAGTCAGTGAGCACGTGGTTTCACAGTCAGAACTGCCACTTGCTTGTTATGTTCAGTTCCCAAAAGCCGAGATGACGACTCATCTCAAGGCTTCAAAGCAGGACTTCACAAACCTGGGGATAAGGTCACAGTGGCTGCATCGATCTTTTATACTGTCTGTGGATTCAGAATGTCAATTTTTTTGTTTTGTTTTTTTTACAGGATGTGACAAGTTTGCATTCCTGAGTTAAAACCAAGCTCAACATCTTCTTTGTGAATGTGTGTAATGGGCATGTAATCGATTCTTGGCTCACCTGTGGCTTAGGTGATAAAGCAGGCTGCAAACAAATCACCAGGTTTTCTTGGTGAAGACACTGAATCCCCAAGTTGTTCCCAAATGCAGTGCGGGCGCCACACTAATGACAGTTCTGCTGTCATGTGTGTGTGTGTGTGTGTGTGAAAGGGGGCAATAAGAAACATTGTAAAAAACACTTTGTAGAACCATTTAGTCTGAGGTTATTCGATAAAAAGCTGTATTTTTGTAACCAGTCCAGGGGCAGATAACTGCATTCCCCCAAAAAATAATCCCATTGATGAAGCAAAGGAACCTTCCAGGTGAGGTGACTGAGACCACTGAAGGGCTTACATTCTTAGTCCCAGTGCAGTTGGCTTGGATTATCTAGTTTGGGTAAAGACGCGTTTCCTGCCGAGATGCATGTGTTTGTGCCTGCCCTTTGAAGAGGAGACCTACTAGGATTAAAAAGCGATAGAGCTTCATCAGGGTGAAGAGATAAATAGATGTGCTCTGGCTCTGCAGTGTTTGACTCATGCTACTGGATCATTGATGCTATAAGACTGTTTGTGCTATTGTAATTCTGTAGAGGAAAGCATTCCTTCACACTGTATTTTGTGTTTACCTGTCTGTCCGTCTGGCATCTCCTGCCTGACAAATGTCTTTCTGTGTGAAATGGACCAGCTTTCTGTTCCCTGTGTTTGTTGTCTTTACCTTGCACTTGCTCTGACCTCTTTAAACTCTTGTCCTACATCTTTCCTGCTACTTGAATGACATCTTTTGCACAGGCTGTTCATAATGCTGGCTCCTCTTCATCAATGAAACTGATGTGCTCTGAGGAGGACTTCTCCTCTTCCAGGTGTCGTCCCCGCTCCTGCATCTCCAGCTCCTGGGGGTGAGAAACGGGTCTTGCCCCTCGGTAGTGTCGCTGTGAGTTGCACCAAGATGGAGTCTGGTTATCTCTTCTCCTTGCGTTTGCAACTTCCAAAGACAAGGGCAGAGAAAGACTGGAGGGATGGACAGAGGTGTTAGGGGACACGACTGGCACGGAAGGGGAAGGCCTCAGCCGATGACTTCCAGGGGAGGATGTGAGCGATGGTGGAGCTGAAAAGTGAGAGGACAGGGGAGGGTGAGTGTCCTGAGAGGCGGGTGGGATGAGCGGGCCTCTGCTGGCACAACTGCCAGGCCGGGAGAGGTGAGGTCCTTGGCATGGGGAAAAAGATGATGAGGAAGAGACAGACATGGAGAAGGAGAGTGAAGGTGAAGGGGTGTGAGAGGCCAGAGGAGGTTGGTCCTGCAGCGAGGGGAAAAATATCCCGTTACTGGAGGAGGCACGGAGTCTTCGGGAGTCCACGCGCCCCTCTGGAAATCCTTCCTCTGGCGACTGATGGTTGGAGTCAGCAGACCCCTGGCTATTGGCCCCTGGGGGCTTGGGCGGGGTCTCTGCTAATGCTGAAGGAGTTGAATTAGGCCTTTTTGGTGAGTGAGGAGTTGGGAGAAGGCATCCTGGCAAATCTGCACTCTCTGTGTCTCTGCTGTCTAACAGGGAATGAGTGTCAGGTCTCTGGTGGGAAAAAACTGTGGAAGGGGGTGGCGCCCCGGGGCAAGGGCTTGATGACAGCTGGCTGGCACTACTGGGAGGTGATGTTAAATTTGGCATCATGGTCATCAGGACTGGCTGTGGTGCCATTTGGAGGAGGGGCTTGAGCAGGCGTGTCATTTCCTGCAGCTCCTGACTGAGCTTGGAAACTTGTTTAGACAGACCGTTCATCTGTGAGGTGAAGAGAGAGATCGTATTAACGCTGGAAAACCAGAAGAACAGTTCATGCAAATTCGGTATGACAATTCAGCACCATGGTTGAAAAATATCAAAAAATCCTTTAATCCTTGTTTGCATAAAACATAATTAGGTACTACATAACATTCACCATGCAGGTTACATTTCAAAAGTCCCTTTATCATACATTTAGTAAAGTTTTAGAGTCTGTTCAGCCTCATGTTCACTTAAATATTCACATCAGCCCTGAGATCCAGCTGTGACTGACATTTTTCCATCAGGGACTGATTACACGCCAAATGATTCAGTGCAGGTGGATCACATGATCAGTGTGTTATGTGTGTGACGCTTGTTTGATTTAAACAGTGGCTGCTATAGTAACATACAGTAAACGTTCCAGAGAAGCTGGCTGACAGTCTGACAAATGCATTCCTGTCAACACAGTCAAAGAGTAACAAAGATGGAGATTTTATTCTGAGCTGATAATAAATCTGTGATGTAATCATGGTCTCTGTCTCTGTCTCTGTCCTTATATTTAACAACTGAATAATAAAAATTGTGCATTTTAAGTACAAAACAAAGCAAACAAATGTCCAACTAACTTGATGAATGGTTCAGGTGGAGCAAGAGGGGAAACTTTAGAGAGAGACTCAAACTCAGCATTGTTAGAGCCCAGAGAAGTATACTAAGTATGAAGTTCAACACAGCCAGACCTTCTTTGTGTTAGCTGGTTCAACAAAACAAAGGTGGTCTCTCTCTTTACATGTGGGTGTGTTGCGAGCCACGCGACTCTTCTTCCACACAAAATGATCCCTATGAGTGCTGCCTCGTGCAGTCGGAGATCTTATCACATGATGATGATGCTGATGATAAATTAGTGTATAAAAATCTACAAAGAACATATTATAACTGCAAAATGCAACACTGTTACAAATAAGGTCAAAGATGAATTCTGCAGAAAATTGTTAATCTGGTGATTTATCACACAGAGCAACAAAGTAAATATTTTATCACTGAACTTATTTCTAAGTTTACTATAAACTGGATACATTGAAACATTAAAAGTTACTAGTCCTTAATCTAATGAAGGAGACAAAGAAAGGTCTTTGGTTTGTTGGCATATCAAAGTGAATTCTTTTGATCTATGGAACATGTACTGTCGGTATATGCTCTGTGTTCTAGTAGCTGCAGTTCCAGGGGTGTAAAAGACTTCAGAAATATCAAACTGAGCATGAGAACAGGGAGGAAAGGTGCATTGGAAATCTGTTTGCATTTATATATCAGAAGGCGGTAAACCTTTGGTCATCTGTCTGAGAGTGAATGTGTTAGTCTGAGTCCACCAGAACAGGTTGCAGGTTGTTTTTAGGAGACCAAACTCAAAAACAAAATTTTAGACACAGCTATTGACATTTGGCAGCTGTGATGTTCCAATCAGATTAAAAACATAATTTTTAAAATATCATTAGACACTTTGGGCCAGCATTCGTAACGTCAGGATTTTATCTGTATGTTTTTCCAGCCATGACCTGCTCGTGTAGTTTGCGAAACATCCAGCTGACTAACAGAAAAATCAAACCTCTGCTGCCGAGGAAAACATTAGACTCCCGAGGCAGAAGTGTACACATGCAATTATCATCAGTGTCAAGTCAGCACTCACCTCCTCAGTCAGTTTAGACACACTCTGCTTGATCTCAGAGTGCTCACGGATCCCTACAGGCAACACACATGCAGAAGGATTAGGCCTCCGGATAAAATGTACTGTTCTGAAAAAGTACTCCAATGTGTGCGGCTGTAGGTGCGCTACCTGCGTACGGTGAGGGCGGAGGGGCAGGTGACAGGCTGGGGCTGAACTCAAACTTCTGTGTTGTGGTGGAATTGTTCTCCGTTTCAATGCCATCCACAAATCTGTGCAGAGATTACACATGAGAGAGAGCATGTAAGAGGGATGTAATCAGATGAAGCTAAAAGGGCTGAAAGCTCCGTTAGTACCGTTTGGATCTTTTAACACAAACATGGAAAAAGTCCTTCATCAGCAGCTTTGCATCACACAACACTGCACACAGAGAGGTCGTGAGACATCTCTGCACACACATAGGCATGGTTGCTCTGCACGCATGCACATTAGTGCATTGCAGTGTGTGAGAACCTACATGCCTTCCAACAGTAGCTGAGCCCCATGTGATTCACAAGCACTGTAATCTAGTGGTTGCCATGGCAGCCAGACACCTATACTGCGGCACTTTGCTCAATTGCTCCTCTCTGACTATGATGTTTTGAATCAATCTTCAGTTTCACACTATGTGTGTCTGTGTGTTTTACCTGGGGCTGAGTTCAGGTGGTGCACCGCTTAAGCTCACAACTGGTATCTGCAGGGTGGAAGGGCGCGAGTGGTCGGAGGGAGCACGGAAAGGCCGAGGCGGCAGGAGAGGGGAGCGCAGGGGCGAGCTGAGGCCCCTGCTGAGATGCAGCGGGGAGCGAGGAGCTCGGGACACGGAGCTCTGCTCCTCATCACCCTCCTCATCCTCGCGGATGGACGGCAGCTTCTTCACCAAGCCACCGTTGCTCTCCCAATCCACCTGAAAGAAAGAGAGGAGGAGCTTGGATACTAAAATGGGAAGAGCGGGATCAGCCCGCACACCTGCTGGATTTCTTTTACCACCATAGCATTAGTAACTGCCTTTACAATGATTGTAAAGGCAGTTACAAGCTTGAACCAGTGGATGGCAGGCAAACACAAGTTCTGTAAATCTGTAAATATGTTTTTAACATTCAGGGTATTGTTTGATTAGCAGCATATTCTTTCTTTTGAAGACTTTTGAGCTCCTTCTCTTCCAGAGGTAACTGAATACAGGAAGTGCTTTGCAGGTCTCATTAGATAGCTGCTATTTGTTCCTCTAGTATACGTTGCGACCTGTACACACACTCTTAAACTTTAATCTGGAATAGCTTTGCATTCACAGTTCAAGCTAACCCTGATTTCTTATACATGGCCTCTTGTGCAACAAGCCTTTCCTCCATTTTTAAGCCACCTTCCTTTGATTTCTTCACAAAAAAGAAAGAAAATGTTTTTAAAAGCAGGTGGGTGGGGCTGTTGGGCTCACAGACAGGTCTATGTGTACCCAACATTAGGGGTATCTGCGCTTATTACCATAATTCAAATCCAGAGTAGCCTGAAGCCCGAGCTTTATGCTCAGTGAGAAGATGTGTGCTTTTAAGAAGCGACTCTCGAAGCAAATCACCAACTTGACCAGCGTCTCTGATCCGATTCTGGTGGTTAGTTTGTTATTTTCATAGCTGTGAGTTTAAATTCAGTGGTGACTTTTTTAAATTTAAAAGTTATCCTGGATACACAATGCTTCATAATGCTTCAAAAAACGGTTGGGAACCTCGGCTGTATCAGTGCAGCACTGGTTAATTTCCATTTTGACTGTTGATTGGCTGTTCTGAGCAGGATAACCTTCTCTTTTAATTCAAAATTCTTTGACAGCCATGTCACCTCCTTACATCATGTTTACCTGTACACACACTGCCCTCAATATATATGAAACTTTGCGCATGTTTAATGTGAACAACATTACATAAACGTTATTAACGGAGTTGTATTTGATCGCTGGCTCACACAGATTGGCTGTGTGCCTATTTGGCATACAGATTACACTCAATCAGTCAACTACAGATACTCACACCTGATCTCGACTCGTTATGTGTATAAAGCACACCTGTTCAAAGAATCGTTTTCTTCCATTCCAACTTCTAAACCTTAAGAGGTGGAAACATTACGCTTTGAGCTGTTTTTCTGACACAGGGTACAGGAGATCTTCAGCACGCTGAGGGGCCAATGGAAGGTGCCAGGTACGAGACCCTCCTTTCCTCAGCTAGAACACTAATGATGTGCTGTGGACGGGTCTTCCAGCACGACAACAATCTAAAACATATCATTAAGGCAACAAGGAGCAGCTTAAGACAAAGCACATTAAGGTCATGGAGTGGCCTAACCAGTCTCCAGACCTCAGTCTGTGGAGGGAGCTGAGTACTTTCTTATCAAGTACTAAGTCATGTTTTGTTTGGGCATCATATATTTATTTCATTCAATGACATGCTAATCAATTGATCGTTTATAATGCATATAATGGTTATGTTTTTTTCTGGCCTTTTGGTTGATAGTCTGTCTCACTCAGAGGTGGCTGTAGCTCAGGAGGTCATTTACTCATTGGAAGGTGGTTGGTTTGATTCCTGGCTGGCCTAGTCTGCATGCCACAGTAACCTTGGTCAAGGTAGAGAACCTAGATTTGCACTCTAATGCATCCGTTGAAGTGTGAATGTTAAATAAAACGAAAGCTCTTAAGTAGAAAAAGTGCTTGTGTGAATGACACATATTGTAGAAAGGCACTATTATACGAACCAGGCCATTCACCATTTGATGTGTGGGTGGCTTTCTTTTTATTCCAAATAAAGGTGAATAGGAGGCATATTTCAGATTGGCATTTAAGGTTCTCGCTTTAGTAGTATTGAGATGGGTTTAAATTCTTGATTGCTGACATCACAAGCAGCTTTTAATGAGGACTTCACACTGTGTGCCACAATCACCCTTGAGTGATTGTGTCAGATGCAGACATGTGAGGGAACAATCTGAAAGAGATGTGCAGAGGCTTATGGTGAACGGCTGAATGCCAATTATTTCTCATTTTTGTTTTTGAGAATCTGTTTGTCTCTTTGTCTTTGTCAGACTCCAAAAGGGAGTCTGTCATGCTACATTTAATACAAATCGCTGCATCTCACTTTTCCCACCCCTCATCACACACACACACACACTCCTCTGACAGTTACAGTCCCAAGCCTCCCCAGTTTCCCATCAGCCTTGTCCCTGCTTATGAAGTGAACAATTTAGGCTCTGATCAGCGTTGGTGCAGGGCTGGAGAAATTCAAGGGAAGGAAATTTAAGTGGAAAAAAACAAAGACTCGTTCGAAATGTATTGAATCAAAGGCTACACAAACAACTGAGAGTGTGTTGTGGTAGTTTGTGAGATAAGTGAGACTGACTTGTAAGAGAGCTCTGTTTACTCTAGCCACCCCAAAAAATCAATAATTTTGTAAAAATGTACAAATTTCAGTTACTTGTGTCAAACAGTGGCTCTTCACTCAAGGTCAGAATGAGCGTAGCAGCGCTGCTAGTTTATTAAACCAGCAGTTTCACCTGTGCAGGCTTCAAAATAATGACATTGCCCATGCTCTAGCACACAACGCCTGGTGCAGTGAGTTATGAATGTATTTGAGCCAACACCCCTGTGCTTTCCCTTTCCCCCCTGCACTCTCCCCTCCTCCCCTCCTCCCCTGCCTGCTCAGCATCCTCCCTTTTTTCCCTCCTCTGTCCCCAGTGCCCTCCACTCAGCCATCTCCCCCCTTCCATACCCGTGCCACTGTAATTTATTTTTAGCTTTCCTGTTCTATTCTTAGCTCCCAGCTCTGGAGCACACCAAGGAGCTGCTCTGCGATGCGGGGGCGTGATAAGTGTGCGCTTGCCGCGTGCCGCCATCCTCTTGTTCAACTGTGTGCGAGAGTGTGGGGGAGTTTGCATCATGTGTGCGGCTGGTTCGGGGCTGGGGGCAGAGATTCTGAAGCATGAAAGCTGATGCATGTATAGTAACTCATATGTGCTCTCAAGGGCAAGGATAAGCAAGTTGGTCCCCTGTGAGAATGGCCATAGAGTTAAAAACTTGTTCCAATATGTCTTTTCAGCAGCACAGTTCTGTGCGTGCTATGCTCTGGCTGGTCATGCACATCGCATTTTTTCGCCCAAGGCTCTGGGGGGTTATGACAGTTAGTCTGCAACCAGTGCATCAGCAGTGAACCATCATTTATGCAATGGAGACTCTTTCTCATCTTTCTTGCTTCATAAACCCTTTCTTCATCCCCCCAGCACATCTTTTTTTTGAACACTGTCATTCATCATATAAGTTTGTAGATTGAAATACTACTTAAGTGAGGAAGAGGCTGCTGAATGTCTGCAGGCTTTATCTTCCATTTTCCACCAGTCTTGTCTTGGATACCTATGCAAATTTCCCTCCTGGGCTGCACATACCAGAATGTTTTTTTTCCACACTAATAACCAGAATGGACATCTGTAACCCAGAACTAAGATATGCACAGCAGATTGTGCATCTAGAATAATACATCCTCTAGTCACACACCAACATGTTCACACTCCGCAGTAAGTGTGTTGATCCCTGGAGAAGCAAACTGCACTGCAGTAGAGTAGCAGAGAGTAAGAGCAGGAGAGAAAACAAGCTAACCCCCCCCCCTTCATCTTTCTTTCTTCTCCTCCTCCTTCCTATTCTTTCACTCAGCTGGCAGAGCTATTTATATTAAGCAGGATCCAATCTTAGCAGCAGCCGTGAGGGGACAGCCAGTCAGGGAGAGCCCGTGCTCCCCTCCTGCTCTATTTTTAGTAACAGGACAACTTCAAACAGCAACACTAAGCTATTTTTGTCCCTACACTTTTTCCCCTCCATCCGCTGCTGCTGCAGCACCAGCCAAACGCAGTGTGTGTGTGTGTTGATGGAAGCAGGGAAAATGCCTTTCATGGCTGGGGTTGTCAGAGTGTGTGTGCACACATCTGGGTATTTTAAAGTAGTGGTGGTAGAATGCTCATGTATACCTTATATATACACCTGCTCACTTGGAATACGTGAATTTCCCCAATGAGAGACAATAAAGGATATTTCTGTTCTGTTCTAATCATTCATGTGACCTTTGTTAAGGTGATTATCTCCTCAGGTTACTCATAAATGTTCCTCATTGGACTGTCAGTCTGCACATTTAGTGTTGTGACTAATCTGTTGGGCTGTTTAATTAAAACTGTTCCTATTAAAATCTATGAATGTGCACTATTCACAGACTAGCCTTATGCCATCTGCACGTGCATCTGCCTTTCTTACAGGAACATTTTGGTAAATGGTAACTAGACTGGTTGTATAGATATAGCACTACATAACCAGGTCACAGTACACACACACACACAGACACTATTCTACTCTACCTGAGCACTTAAAGCACTTTCTACTGCATGTCTCATTCACACAAGCAAGTGCTTTCTACCTAATATTCACACACATTCATACTCTGATTAATTCAAATTTAATTACATTTTTTTTATACAGCACCAAGTCACAACAACAGTCAATTCCAGATGGGTTATGTTGTAAAGTAAAGACCCCACAATAATACAGAGAAATCTTTTGAGCAAGCACTTGGTGATAACGGGAAGGAAAACCTCCCTTTTAAGAGGAAGCCTCGAGCAGAACCAAGCCAAGGATGAGGCAGCCATCTGCCATGACCAGTTGGGGGTGAAGGGAAGGGGGATAGAACAAAAGGCACACTCTGGAAGAAGTTGTTTATGATGCAATAAACACGTCAGTATCTTGGCCTACTATGGCATGCAGACTAGAGGAGCCACGGATCAAACTACCAACCTCCCGATTAGTAGATGACCGGCTCTACCTCCTGAGCTACAGCCACCACTGATGGATGTAAACATTTATCTTATATACAATCCATAATAAATCTGACTGAGAATGACTTGTAACAGCTTGTAGATTGAAAGGTCACATGGTGTAAAGAATATCCTGTTTCATAATTTACTAAATGAACTATATGATGTATTGAACAAGACTTAAAACTAGTAAGTTACTAGTAAAACTATCAGAGAAGGTGTTACAAGGTCATAAATCAGGTGAAAAGTAGAATTATTTTAATTTTCATAGATATCCATATATAATCTTAGATCTTTACACAAATAAAGCAGTATGTGCTATTAGATTGTGGGTCTTTTATAGATCATTTCTGGTCAGTATTTGCAGCTGTTTAATGACCACAGAGGTGAACTCTACTCCATTTCAAATTTAAATTCAGCTCAAGTGTACTTCTTTTTAAATGTGCAGTAGACTAACAAAAACGTTCACAAGTTCACTGACAAACGCACATAAACAGTAAGTCCATCATGAATCTACTACAGGTACTCACATCAGCCCCGTGGCCCTCTCGTAGATTGTAAGTCAGGTCATGTTGTATCTCGCTGATGAACTTCTGGGCATACTCAGGGTAAAGGCGAAGAACCTCTCGGAGACCCTTGAGGCTGATATACTGCAGGTCACAGTACGTCAGGGCCTTGACATTAGCGTTGGTTTTGATCACTTGTTCCTTCGTCAGGGAGTCTGAGCCAATTAGATCTCCTTTACCTGGGGAAGGGGATGACAAAGTGAGTGATGCACAGATACCTGTCTTTGAAGCAGCTGTTTAGAGGGAGCCTATTCTCACTAGCTGTCAACACCTGAGAGAACATCATCAGCCATTAAGCTTCACACACTGACGTTCTGAGCAGCACATCATCAAAGACAGAAGATTAAAGATTTGGACCTGTGAATTCATCTCAGCAGCAGCGTGGGAACATGTGTTTGTATATGTCTAATGTACCTGCAAACCCTGGTCCCTTTAATTTATATAAACCAACACCACCTGCATAAAGCAGCACAGTGTAACTTACTTTGGTAAGCTTTACCATATATTAGCACACTAGTAGCCTGTGCTGCTTATATGCCTTCACACAACTGGTTTCTTATGAAACATACTGTACAGCCTTAGAGTAGAGAGAGAAGAGCAGCCAAGGACCGAATTAGTAGATACAAGCAATCTACTAATTGGAAGGTCTACGCCTAGTCCAGGTTTGGCAGTTGCCAGGAGAACAGTACTTGTCTGACTGCATTGTGCCAAGTGTACAGTTTGATGGAGGGGAGATTATATGGTGTGCTTGTTTTTTAGGAGCTGGGCTCAGAGTTTCAGTGAAAAAAAGCATACCAAGACATTTTGAATAACTTTATTCTCTCAACTTTGTGGGAACAGTTTGGGGATGGCCTCTTCCTGTTCCAACGTGACTGTACACCAGTGCACAAAGCAAGGTCCGTAAAGACATGGATGAGTGACTTACACCTTTGGGATCATTTAGAGGGGAGACTGAGAGCGAGGCTTTCTCGTCCAATACCAGTGTCGCATTCGCACTCCTTAACCTTGTGAGAGCCTTCCCCGAGGAGCTACAGCTGTTATAACTGCAGCTATAGCAGTTATGGCAGTACAGTGTACCAAAAAGAACAAACTCATTGGCTGAGGTTGGCTTACTGACTTTCACTATGCTGCCTACAAACACTTGGCTTTGTGCTGTGCTTCAGAACCATAATCATATATATCTAGTGTGGATATGTGTGTGAAGGCAGACTAGTGAACACGTGTGTATGAACACCTAAATTAAGCAAACATCCTCTAATTTATAAAAACATGCTTTTCAGCATGTGGCTAATTGGGACAGAATCTATTTGAGACCCTAGTGAGGAGGCGAGTTTTGACTTTAGACACAATGCAAAGATGTCGCCTTTTTCTAAGCTGCTCTGTAAATAAATAACTAGAAGAAATTGTCAGAAATAACAATGCTGGTCACATTACCATGCCCTGTGTATAATTACACAATATACAGTTAGCATACAACCATACAATGTATATGAGCAGCATAGATTGCATCGATTACTACATGGATGGTT